TTTAGTGACAGCTAAAGTTTGTTGAAATTCTCTACTATTGACAGTGAACTTTTTTTTTTTTTTTTGAGCTGTGATCTGAGTAGTTCAGGCTGGCCTCAACTCGTTAAGCTGAGGATGGCCTTGAACTAAACATTGTGGTTGTGAGTATGTGCTAGCATTCCTGGCTGGGACCTAAAACTTATAAAACCTAAACTTAAAATAAGTTTGACCTTGTTAATTTTGACAGGGTCTCATGTAGCTCAGGCCAGCCTTGAACTCCTGATTCTCCACCTCCCAAAAGCTGGGAGGTAGCTAATAACGAACTTGACTCACAGTAGACTACACTTTAACTTAGGAACTTTGCTGTAGTTGAGCAGGCAGATTTTGAAATAATCAGTTACTTTTTGCAGTATCCCTCTGCACAGTGGTTTATTTTGATGTTCAATGACAGGTCCAGCTGTATCATGCATCCGTGAGACTAGCCCAGCTGAAAGTAGTAATTGGGTGGTTAGATGTCTGTATATGGATATGCGGTCTTGAAAATTGCTTAGTTTTAAAAAATTCCAGATCATAATACACAACTCTTGGGCTCCAGTTTCCCCAAGTAACTGAAAACAGTGGGAAGTGAAAGAAGCACCGGTGCTCTTGGAGCCCTCTTAGTGCAGCTGAGCCCAGGCTGCCTTGTCAAACTCTCCTGCAGGGGGAGCTATTCCACCTATCCTGTGGTGTCAGGCCAGCACAGGTTCCTGCATGTGTGTGCATGACTGACTGTCAACGCAGGCACAGCATACAGTGTTTCAAAGGCTTCTTCTGTAAGGTTGTCAGGGGTTGCCATGCTGAGGATAACTTTTTTTTTTGTAAAATGTAAAAATGAGGAAAGACCAATTAGAACTGTGATTTACATATATAGCTGCCTTTAAAAGTCACCCCTTGGAGTTAGTGCATTTATTATGCTGCAGATCGTACACGAGGGGATTCACTTGGAATTCTCTGACATTTCCCCCCAGGAATTCATTTAATAAAATCTTCTACTTCTTATTTATGGTTTGGGATTGAACCCCAGCTGGGTATGCTAGCTACATCCGTGTAATAAAAATCTTAATTAACACAATCAGCTCTGGTAAGATTTTAATTTTTCCTCAATTTCAGATGTTACTTCCAAATTCTCCACACAAAGTGGAATTCATTGTTCTCTTGTTTCTTTAAGTGCACAGATGGATTTCCTTGCACTTGTCACAGGAGACTGGACTTTAGAATACTTTGCTCCCTTTAAAGCGTTTGTTGTGTTTGCACTTTTCCTGGGGGAGAAGCCAGAGTTTCCACTGCTTTTTCAAAGGTATCAGTGAGGCTAATGAGTTTACTGTTAGAAACCAGTCAAGATACATTTTGTCATCTATAAAGGCCTTTTCTAAGATTAATGCTTTATTCACTTTAGATAAAATGTTGATAATAGCTTTAAAAACAAAATATTTTGTTTGCAGACTGAATGAAATTGAATTTAGCACTCCACACAGTTAGCTTTATAGTAGTATTCATGAGGTGCACTTCAGTTTTCTGTTAGTGGGATGTCAGCCAGCCCCTTCCTCCTCACCCCTGTGGTCAGTCTGTTCTGCAGCTCTCTTCCTCAGGAGCACCCATCCGGTCTGTGCTGTTGATCCTGGGGACACATGATAGACAGTATGGAAAGAGAGGCTTGCTGAGAGAGCTCCGCCTCTTCCAGTCTGATGTGGGTTGAACCCTGGAGAAAAGATTGGGACTAGGTATGAGGGCAGAACCTTTGCAGAGGGCATTCCAGTACTAGAATGTCAGTGCCGTAGCAGTTACAGACTGCAGAGGACTGAAGGCCGGGGAGAGGAGAGACTGCCATCAGAACAGCAGTGGTAAAGCAGGTGACAGTGCACAGACGTGGAGGATCACACATAAAAAGCAACTGGACTGCAGAATAAGGCCATTCCCTGGAGAACAAAAGGAAATTAGAAGACAGGTGTACATGATGAAGCTTCTTTAAAACTTGGATTACTTGTCTTAGTTTAATTTCATTGTCCTTTGATTTAAGCACACTGGTAATGTTAGTAATTTTCCTGCCAGTTTGTATCTGTGTCTTACAAGGTGAAATTTTCCTTTCCTGTGATTTGCTGTCGAAGTGTGCTGCATAGCGGCCGGCTGGCCGCAGGGAGATGTGTTGACTTGACTCAGAAAACACCTGAACTGGAAAGGAGTGTGGCCCTAAATGTTCTGAGATCCCAGTGCTTAGGTTGAATTGTCTGCACATAGCTGTGTTGCTCACCCTGCTTGTCCTTGATGTTGTGGAACCATATACTTAATCTCCATTTAAGTGGTATTTACCTTAAAGAACTGTAGTATAAGGAAACGTTAAAGGATATTGAGGAGAGTTAATTAGTAGAACTTATACTAAATACATATGTTGGGGGTGGTGAGGAAAATTCACACTGACCCCAAGAAAGGAAAAGAGCCCTGGAGAGAAGGAAACTAACTGGAATGAGCTGGTTCAGTATTTTCCCAAGTAATGCATGGTAGTTTATATGCATGGTGGTTCATATGTATGGCTAGGTGCACAAAGTGCAAGGTGTCTGTGGGTGGAAATCATTGTTAGTTTACTGATGCTCATTTTAGACAAGACAGTGTTTGTTTCTGAGACTTGATAAGTACTCTGGTCTGCACCGCAGCTGTCCCTGATGGAAGAGTCATTTGTAATAGGGACTGCAGCACTGTCTGTGGGTGGGGGTGGGTGGTGGAGAATACACCGCTCTCCGTTTTTGTCATTCCATTTTCCAGAATCTCCATGGATTTCAGTGATCACTGTGACTTCATTTGTTCACTGAAGTGGATTTTTAGTATAGTATCTACTTTTTAGCTGACTTTTACAAGAACATTCTGACAAAGAAACTGCAGATTGAAACAAGAACAGGACAGACAGGGTGCTGGAACTGACACTTAGAAACTAAAATGAACACCCACCTGCTAGATCTAATCATCTTAGATGTCTGGAACTAAAGATTCTCAAGGAAGGTCTGACACAGACATACTCCTTTTGATGCTGACTCTTAGTCTAAGAGAAAGCTATGCCCTAAGGTATTTTTTATTTATTTGTTTTTCTTTTCTTTCTTTCTTTTTTTAAATTGAGACAGAGTCTCTTTACATAACTCCGGCTTTCCTGGAACTCAGTCTGTAGACCAGGCTGGCCTCAAACTCACAGAGATCCCCTTACTTCTGTCTCCCGAGTGCTGGGATTCAGGCATGCACCACCAATGCCTCACGTAAAATATTTCTTTTTTTTTTTAAAAAATATTTATTTGTTTACTTTGTATACATCGTTAAGATTTGTTTGTCTGTCTGTTTATTTGTTTGTTTGTTTGTTTGTTTATTTATTTATTTAGTATACATTGTTCTGTCTGCATATATTCCTGCATACCAAAAGAGGGCACCAGATCCCATTATAGATGGTTGTGAGCCACCACGTGGTTGCTGGGAATTGAACTCAGGACCTCTGGAAGAGCTGCCTGCTGGTGCTCTTAACCTCTGAGCCATCTCTCCAGCCTTTAAAATATTTCTTAATGATGACAAAAAAACCCATTGATTGAGAACACATATAAAAAAAGGTCATAATGTTGAAGCAACAGTTAGAAAGTTTGTAAACAATTTATCTTACCTGTTCTGTGTATTTTGAAATCATATAATTTAGCAATATGTTAATTTTATATAAATAAGTAGAAAGCATGTATGCCAAAGCAAAACCTTTTTTTTTTCTCCTGATAAGAAGAATACTCTGCTATTAGATAGCTCAGAATTAATAAAAACTGGGTAAGGGAGATAGCCGAGCAGTTAAGAGCCTTTCTGTTCCCACCAACGGCATGGGCAGCTCATGGACAGCGCCTGTAACTTCAACTCCAGAGAATCCAGTGCCCTCTTTTGGTCCCTGCATACATACCAGGCACACATGGACACTCACATATATACATAAATAAATTTTAAAAAATCATTTTAAAAAGTTCATACTTTACCATATAGTAAAGTAAACGATGTTCATTGTGAGTCACCATAAGGTAAGCAGTTTGGTGGCATCTAGGTTTTGTTGGGATTCAGTAGTTCTGTGTATAGAGTGTTTCCCAGTGTGTCCTAGCTCCTCATATTTAAAACCCATGTTTCACACTAAAACACCTTCTAGGCATATTTTCATAACAGCTTAAAGAACTGGAGGCCAGTGGAGTGATGTATGTTGACGTGATCTTCTGTAACTTAATATTTGATGTCTGATGCTAACTTGAATTGCTGGATCTCTAGTAAGCGTGGTCACACACCAGGATACCTGGGTGCTCAGTGAGAAGTGAAACCAGAACAAACCTGAAGTGATTTGAGAGTTTTATGGATATTGCTTAGTGGTTTTGTTATTGATTGACATTCTGAGTCTTAATTTCTGCTGTAGGACACATGCTAAGCATACCACTGTGGCTCTACTCCTCTTGGTGGCATCAACCTGTACTTTGCACTAACGATCAGTGACTTTTCTGAGTGTCCCCTCTTAGATGTGGCATATGAAACATAGCTTTTATGTTGCAGAAGTTTTGTGGGTATGATGTGCTGTGCTTCACTCATTGAGGAACGTAGAGATAGAGCCTTTTTTTTTGTAAAGTCTGAGATTGATTCCTGCTTTGTTATGATTGAAATAATTCCAAAACCAGTTAAATATGTTTCTCATGAATCAATATATAAAATGCAAGTTCACATGACTTTCATGGCTCATGGTCATGTCTGATGAACAGCCTATTGCACCCTAATTCACTTGTACTCTCTGGGATTGAGCTGAATTGGGGGTCATGTATGACCTTCCTTGGATGCTAGCTGCATTAGCCTCTCAGGAATGTAGGTACTTAGCATTTGCTGCTATTTGTGACATACCTAGATGCCAAAGCCTACAAATGAATATTTTGAACATGCCAGGTTTGGTATGGGAAGTCTTAAATTGAATTTGGAAACACTGAAACTCTTTTCTTTTTTCTTAGTCTCAGCAGCTTGTGTTTGGTGGTCAGATAACCAGTTGTACATCCTCACATCAATGCACTGCCAATGGTAAGATGCCTTTCCTTCTCCTTCAGTCCCATGTCAGTGATTTATAGCTGTGCTTACTCTTCTTTTAAAGAGACTTTTGAGAAATAAGAATTTCTCAACAATCTGAGAAGAGTTTAGAATTTTTAGCAAAATGAACCCCTACTTTGAAGATTCTTATTTGTCTGTAATTTTTATGGTTATCAGTATCGTACTTTTTTATTGCTGTGATGAGATACCATGACCAAGACAAATTGCCAAGAAGAAAGCATTAATGGGAGCTTGTGGTTTTACAGGGTTAGAGTGCATGACCATCATGGCAGGGAACATGGCACCAGGCAGCAGGCAGGCAGGCAGACATGCATGCATGCAGCTAGAGCAGTGGCCAAGAGCTTACATGTTGAAACAACAACCATAAGGCAGAGAGAGCTACTGGGAATGGTGTGGGCTTTTAAATCTCAAAAGTCCACCACCAGTGTTACAGCAACTAGGACCAAAGCATTCAAATGTTAAGCCCAAGCGGGCCATTCTCATTCATACCTCCACATCAAGATTTAAAAAAAAAGTGATGCAAATATGATCTTTTGTGAAATGAACTACATTTTGTGAATAGATTTTTATTGTTATTGTTAAAATTTTAATATTGTTAGTAATAGTTCATTTATTTTTGTTCATCATTTTGGTGAGTTTTAGGGAATTTTGCTAATACTGATGTTCCTAGTTAATATGCAGTTAAATATATAAGATAGTACATTTTTATTTAGTTGATAACTTTAGGGAGAGACATCTTTACCTCTTTAGAAAGGTTTAGAAGTGTTTCATTTTGGATTATAAATCTCAGTTGTCATGTAATAATGACTACACTTCTGAATGTACCAGGGCACTCTGACTTTTGGCAATGTTTGGTGACTTTAATAGTAGAGTTATATTAAATTCTTAAGACTTATTCTAATTATAGGCTAAACGATTTCACAAATGAGAATTCAGAATGACTTTTCTCCTGTTTTAATATTGTTTTGTGTTTGGGGATAAGTAACTAGTCGAATGAATGCCTTTCTTGGTTTTTGAACATGTTATTGACTCAGTTTACACCGGACCCTCACTGGACGCAGCTGAACATCTGTCTCTTCTGTGTGTGTCTTCCCCATGGAAACTTTTTCATAGTACCTTACCAAACATTGTCATTAAAATGCTTTATCAGACTTCAGACATTAAGTCATGGAACTGTAGAAACAGGCTTATAGAGTTGGATGAGAATTGGCAGAGGAAAAAGGGATCAGGAGTTATCAAGAACCGGAATAACTGAGTAGGTGACTAAAAATAGTGCTAGCAGGGGTTCCTTAAGATGCTTGCATGCTGGCTAACAGCAAGAGTTCCCTTACCTTAGGTGTCTTAGCTTAGTTTTTTTTTTTTTTAATTAAAAAAATTATTCTTTGACAATTTAGTTTGTCTGTATGTTGTTTGACATACTTTCCATTTCTCTTTTAACCCCCTCCCACTCCCTCTGAAATTTTCCTTCTTTGTTACCCTCCTCTTCTTCTTTTTTTTTTTTTTAAAGTCTTTTCTTTTTCTCTTTTTGAGACAAGGTATTCCTGTTTAGCTTTGTCTGGCCTAGAACTCAGAGAGATTGGCTTGCCTCTGCCTCTGCCTCCTGAGTCCTGGGATTGAAGACTTGTGCTACCGTATTAGCCATGGGCTTAATCATGGTTAATCTTGGTTAGTGAGTGTGGGGCTGTTTGCTGGAGCAGGCACAGCTTACCAGTGGCTGTATTTCTGAAGAGAGAGGACCCCCCCCCAGCAGCCATTTACCATCCTTCTACCATTTACCAGCCATTCTTGACACCTTCTAAACATTTTCCTCCACATGGTGACCAGAGAACCAGCTTTCTTTCTGTATGGTTTCCTGTAGCAAGTGCCCTTACCTTCTGGGCCATATCATCATCCTAGATTCGAAAGAATCAAATTCTCTCCCTTCCTGTCCTTCCCTGCCTTCTGTTCCCTGGGTCGTGAGCTTTTGCTTTGAGAAAACCTGCTTGTAAGCCGGGCAGTGGTGGCGCATGGCTTTAATACCAGGACTCAGGAGGCAGAGCCAGGTGGATCTCTGTGAGTTCAAGGCCAGCCTAGTCTACAGAGTGAGAAAACCTGCTTGTTTTATTTGAAGCTTTCATTTAAGACTAGTTAGTTTTCTGGTTGTTGGAGTCCTAACTTGTGGCAGTAAGCTGCTATCTTCTAAGGCCCTCTCCCCCTGGAGTTTGCCATTATGTAGACTAGACTGTATTACTGCTTTTGTGTTTGAAACAACTCATAGGCTGTGTTTTAAATTGGATCATTTCAAACATTTGCTAATTTTGCTGAAAATCTCCAAAAGGGTTTTTATGTCATCACAAACTATAAACTTATGATTAGTTGTATATGTAGTGCTAGAGAGCTAGAGGCCGAGGCTTCAGAGGGCATCCAGCCTTTCAGAACCCTGAAGCCATTGTACATACATCAGCGTGTCATGTGTTTAGAGATGGTTCAGAATGTGGTTTTCTCAGGAACCTCAAATGCTATAGCTGTTATGCTGACCATGTGCGTAGAACACAGTAGTCTCCTACTCACATTCTGACTTGCTCATTTTATTATCTACATCAGCCATGATCTGAAAATAGTAAATAGAAAATTTGAGAAATAAACTGTCTTAGGTTTTTCTCCCTGCTCCCAAAAACTTATAGCCATATCATAATGTTAAAAAATGCATTCAATCCAAAAACGTCCCCACAGTCTATTGCTGAAGCCTGATCCTAATTAGCTTAACAATAAAAAACCCCCGGAGTCAGATATCGAGGGTGAAAGCTCAAAGATCAGAGAAGCAGAGCAGAGACCACTTAGAGACTTCTTACCTCTATGAAATCTCAGACTGAATGAGGGCTATCCTGTCTCTATGAATCCTCAGACTGACTAGGGGAGATCCTGTCTCCACCTGCCTTATATTCCTATCTCCATCTCCCCTGTGCTGGGATCAAAGGCGTACACCACCACGCCTGGCCATGTTTCTTTCACTTTTAGACTGGATCAATCTCACATAGCCCAGCATAGCCTTGAACTCCTGATCTTCCTGCTTCTTCCTCCCAAGTGCTGGTATTAAAAGTGTGTACCACCATGGCCTGGTCTCTAATGGTTAACTAGTGGCTAGCTCTACCCTCTGATCTCCAGGCAAGCTTTATTTGTCAGAACACAAAATATCATACAACATATTACAGTTTTTAACTTGTTTTAAAGTTCAAAGTCTCTTCTAAGACTCATGGCAGTCTCTTAACTATAATCTTCCTGTAAAAATCACAATGTAAAAGCAGATCACATACTTTCAACATGTAATGGCACAGGATATACATTACCATTTCAAAGCATAGGCAAGGAGCATTTTTGAGGAAATACTGGACCAAAGCAAGACCAAAAACCAGCTGGGCAGACTCCAAACTCTGTATCTCCATGTCTGATGTCCAAACGGACTTCAGATCTCCAACTCTGTTCAGCTTTGTCTGTACCATACTTCTTTCTCTTGGGCTGGTTTTACTCCTTGTTGGCAACTTTCCTCAGCAGGCATCCTATAACTCTGGCATTTCTAACATCTTGAGGTCTCCAAGGCAATCCAGGCTTCAACTTCACAGCTTCACAGGATGGCCTATCTACTATGCCTCCATTCAGGGGTAACTCACACATGCCTGGCCTCAGGGGCTTTATTCTATAACATATTTCTTTTATTCTTAACTCTAAAGCCAGAACCATGTGTCCAAAGCTGCCAAGTTCTGCTGCATACTGGGGCTGGAACATGGCCCCCTTGGGCAGGTATACCTTCACCAGCTTTCTGTTTTTGCCACCTAAGTTTGGCTGTCCTGAAGACCAAGCTGGCCTCAGACTCAGATCCTCCAGCCTCTTCCTTCCCAGTGCCAGAGATTAAAGGCATGCACTACCATACCCAGCTCTAAGCTTTTCTTTAGTTCCTTTTCACAGATTGGGAATTTAGCTGGGTGGGATATTGCCCCAGGTTACCAATCCCTTTATTCCATCTCTTAATCTGTTTATCTTATTGAACACAGGATTTAGCTGTATTCCACTTCCTGGTGCTCTTTTTTTTCCTTAAAGTTTACATTTTGTAATTTACCCTGCTCAGCTTGCTCTTTTTTATTATAAATCTTCATTAGAGTCACCACTAAAAAGCACACAACAGAGTCTATACTAGGCTGTTTTGAGATTTCTTCTGCCAACAGAATTAATCCAAAAATTTTCACTTTAGTCTTAGGCAGACTCTTCAGACAAGGACAAAAGGCAAGTCACTTTCTTCATCACAAGAATAATCTCTAGGCAACAGAAACCTCTTGAGTGAGTCCCCCACAGTTCATCAAATCACAGCTCGATTGCTTTCCTAACCCATAGTACCAAAGTCCATATGGTCAGGCCTATCACAGCAACACCCTGGTTCCTGGTAACAACTTTTGTCTAAGTTAGGTTTTTGTTACTGTGAAGAAACACTATGACCACAGCAACTCTTATAAGGAAAACATTTAATTGAGGTGGGTCTCACTTACAGTTTCAGAGGTTCAGTCCATTATCATCATGTTGGGAGCATGGTGACATGCAGGCAGTTGTGTTGCTGGACAAATAGCTGAGAATCCTATATCTTGCAGGCAGCAGGAAGTGGACTGTCACATTAAAGGAAGCTTGAGCAAAAGACCTCAAAGCCCATAGCCATAGTGACACACTTCCTCCATCCAGACCTCACCTTCTAATAGTGCCACTCTCTTTGGAGGCCATTTTCAAGCCACCACTTAAACTTTTACTGAATTTTTAGCTGCGCACTGCTCTGAATATTGGTTAAGCTTGATGGTCCTGCCCTAGACTTGGAGCCTCCCTCCCTCCCTCCCTCCCTCCCTCCCTCCCAAGATCCACATCCACAGTTTTTCCTGCCCACTTGTCACTTAGATATCAGGATGCATGTGTGCAAGTAATAGTTTCTTTGTTTTTTACTTAATAATACCCACAAA